AAGCAAACCACACTTAACCTGAGTCTCTGATCATTAGGATACCCTGAGTCAATATCCAATCCCCGTCCCCCTTCTTTGATTATATTCTAAGGTCGTGGGACGAGATCATTATATTGATCTTCGATTCTGATATTGCCTTACTTATCATGTGAGAAAATGATAAGATACATTATGAAATTAAGTTTTTACCGGTTTTTACTGTAGGTTTTGTAGTGACTCACCTCTACGACGTCGTGATCCTCACCAATCAGAATTCGAAAATATAGCACCACACAACTTTTGAATTTCGCACAGATTGTTCAAGAATAGTAGGTAGGTATATATATAGATAGGTGTTATTGCGGTTGGCATAGTAAGTATACGAGTATAATAAATAACTGACCATGTGCACTGCAGACTGCACTATTATATCCACGCAATCCACGCCAAGTTGTGAAGTTGTAAGCTGTAAAGTCGCATGTTGAATGAAAATGTAGGTACACAACAACTCACAATAACATGCTGCTTTTGGGTTTTGCCGCTTTGACGTATGAAATTGGAATAATTATTTACTGTAAGAGGAATTCCCCTTCTCCATACTTCGTTATTACTTGTACTTACTGCTTTATCTTTTATCTGTTGAAATAACGGTTGAAGGATCGATGATTAGGTGGTAAATAAATATGTCTACATATACAGGGTGTTTCAGAGTTGTGGTGACAAACCAAGGGGAGCTCCGCTTAACCAAAATTTGAAAAAAAGTTCATATGTACATGGGTCCGAAAATGCTTCGTTTCCGTGTCCAAGTTTTAGAAAAATATATGTTTCAATTAATATCTTGAAAACGCTTAAGCCACCCTGTGTTTATTTTCGGGTTCTTCTCAAATATTCAGATAAACCTACTAAAAATACAACATTTCTGTTAGCTATATTTTCGTACTTATCCAACTTCGATTATTTATTTCGCTCCAGATTCCACTGTTTGGCTCGGTAATCGAATGAAGGTGAACAATATCGTTGTGTGAGACAAAAAAGTGGTGTTGGCCGTGATTATTCAAAAACAAGTTATCCAATCAATCAGATCCCGAGAATGAATGAAATACAGATCGAGCAAGTATGTGAATCTTGAAGGCTTTCCTGATCAAATCAAAAATACTTGCCTATAATATATGTTATATTTATATCTCCAGCATGGGTATGAAATACCAAATCTGCCGACTTGATGACCTCTAGTACATCTTTTTTAAAGTTGAACATTAGCTCCTAGGAGAGCTGCTGTGGAGAACGACATTTCTGAATTACTTGTTTTGGCCCGTTGAACTTGAATATGTAAAAATATACAGGGTGTTCCATTCGAAAAAATATCTTCAATTTATTTTCATTCTGTTGATATTTCGATAACTCACGAACTGAAAGTCGTTCATTTGATTCACTTGAGGTTTTTACTCATCCTTTTTCCTAAATGGGAGAATTGGTTCACAGCAAAGTAACTAGAGAGACGGAAAGTATAATAGACAATAAAAATACTTTGTATATTTGGTGAATGGTGTATTATTGTAAAGAATGAAAAGAGAAGAAAGTGGCAATTTACAATGCATTTATAATCGCTAAGTACACTGCTGACCAAATCGTTTTCTTACTTATAAAAATAATAATATCAAACATTTTCTAAAATTCTTGTATCACATTGAAACTTAAAACGAAGTGAACGAACTCACTCCATAGGGCTTTCCAGATTTTCAAACTTCTCAACAGCTGATCAAATTAAAAGTAAATTATCGATCAGTGTCCAGTAGGTTGAAAATATCGAAAAATATCCTTACATTTTTTAATATTCACATTAGAATCTACTCTTTGTCTAAGATGTCTAATCTAGAAAAATAGGTATTCAGAACTTATCAGCTAAATAAATACTATACAAATTGTCATGAATGGGAACATTAAGCAGATGAGTGCATACATTTTTTGTCTAGGGACTAAAGATATATAGACAGTTATGTTAATACTTTTTTAACTCTGAAAAGGAACAGTATATTGCATACCTGCTATGAAGTATTTCAAAAGTATGAACTACCTTATAAATTATAATTGAAAAAACATTAAATGTAGAATAAAGGTAATTCATATTGTTTGTTCATCATACAGGGTGTGAAAAATGCATATTGATTGGTGAAATGAAATTCATAAACTGTAACATGTAAATATGTATTCAGAAACTGAAAATAGCCCGTATGTATTCTAGTAGTCTTCTTCGTTGAGCCCATACTCTTCCTGAACTAAAATTGACGAATTCTGAAATACAATCAACGCATCTGAATTTACATAATAAATAAATTTTCTGAATTTCAATTGAGGCAAATGCAGTCATAAGGTTTGAATATAATTCGACATTTTTTATTGACTGTCAATTGTTATTTTCGCAAACATGTCTGATGGTAGAGATTCGCCGGAGCTAAGAGAAGTCATGGAAAAAATCTACTGAAAGCATACTGTAAGGAGGAAGGCGAAATATCTACGAATCCTATGCCACAAACGCTTGGGAAAGGAAGGTAAGTAATTAATTAAATCCTTCTGAACCGCTGACAAGAATGCACAAATTCCTAACATTATAGGAATTCCCTTTCGTGCGCTCCAAGCGATAAAAAAAATTCACCAAGTCAAATTTATCGGCTTCAAGTTACCATTTGCATCTTTAGTCTTGCATATCTCTGTTTCATTCGATATTGATAAGAAAGTGACATTTCAATAATTGAATTACCATAAGTCAAGTTCCAATATTATTTTTTCTAGTGCTTTGTCCCATTCAATTCATAAAGGATTAACAGAGGTAGATTTTGACTGTATCTCCAAGACTTCTCATTCGTAAAGTTCCTAACATAATACAAGAAATGTGTGAATGACTGATTTTTGAAAAATCCTCTGAATTGTCAGCTTTAGCAGCAATAAGAAATTTTGTCTGAATACAATATCATAATATGAAAATAATTAATACACAAAAACACTCTCTGGAAATTCATTTCATTGGGGTTTCAAAACTGAAAATAAATCAATATATTGTACAATCTATGTTCAGTCGGAAAACCATATTTGAGTTGTACATGCCTCAGACGGCTCAGATATCGATTTTCGATTGAAAAATGATCTACAGGCACTTGAGTATTCTAGTGACTTACAATTAATGAAAGAAACATTTGTGGATATTTCTCGCATCAAAATATGATATACAATAAAATTAATAATACAACCAATTCTTCTTTGATACAACTTCAAAACTTCAAAATTTCTCCATATAATAAATATATTAGGAACTTTATAAATGGTGCTGATTATATTTTCGCTAGTAAAAAATTACCAGTTATTTTTATTCTCAGGTATGAAATGTGAAAAAATGATGAGATAACATTGAAAAATTATAAATATTTGATACCCTAGGATTAGAATATTGACATTTGTCATGAAACTATTTATTGACGAGGCACAAGGTGCTGACCTTTCAAATATGCAGTTTCATAATTGAATATCCAGTGATTTTTTTTTGCAAAAGTACGTCTGTTTTTTTTTTGGCAAAAGTACGTCTGGTTATGTGTTTGACATCAAAACTGTCGGAATTTTAGATTCCCAGGGGGAGCAAAGATATATCAAAATAAAATAGTGAATATTGAAATATTGGTTGAATATACATATCGGCAGGTTAAAAAAATGCGCCAGACGATTTTTTGTTCAAATCATATGCATTTCAATTGAAAGTTTTTCAACGGGCATTGCATTTTGAAGCTTTTTTCTGCTTCCGTGTAAACGGCTCCTGTGCTTGACATAAGTCCTGGATTTAAATAATATAAAACTTATCTCTTGAACTACAAAAGAACTAGGAGTTGAATCAAAGTTCCTACACTCCTATTGAGTCGAGATATAATATGACTTTCTTGTTCAAAAGTCTTATTGGGAAAGTTCAAGCTTTTCCGTAGCATCCTCTTTTCAATAAAGATATATTTATATCGATTACGAAGTGTTTCATGATCAATGTTTACTTGAAATAGCCTCTGAATGTGATCTAGTAGGCCTTGGTTTGTGAAAAAAAAGGACGCCGCTTAGCTCCAAACTACACCTTTTCCCCCTCTACATTTCAAAAAAAAAATCTTGGCAATCGTTCCATTGATAAAAAAGTTAGGATGGTGGCCTGCTTTCAAATGGGTCACTCGGTATGTATTAGTAAAGAAGTTTAACACCACTAAATACTGTAAAAATAAATAGCTACTGCAGTATTCACTGTTCACTCTTCCTCTACAGGCTCTATTTCTATGGCACTAATTTATTGAAGAACTTTTGATAGACTTTATTGCCCACAAAGTAGCTAAGATGGTAGAAAACTTATTTTGCTGTGCTTATTATTGTTTGTTACAAATGTTATTGTAGGTACTGCAATTAATGTTATTGGAAGATATATGTCCCATGGTGTGTGTACTAAGTAGGAAGAATTAAAACATATAGGATACTTGGGTTTGGTTACTCTGAAAGTAGTTGGAATCTTCTTTGACAAAAATTATTTGAGCACTAAAGGACACAACTTTGCTGGTTTCAGAGATTACAATGGTAACAAAAAATGTTGTCTTCCACTCTGTATCTTCAAAAACAAAAACGGTTGCAATGATAGTCGGCACTCATCTGTCACAAAATCGAACCAAAAATATACAAATCACAATATCTGAAACACTACAAGCAATATTTGAAAATGAAGTGGAACATTCCTCAAAATTCACACGAATCCAAAATTACACTATGATTCAAGTCTTATTTTAATAGCAATGACTTATTCAATATGAATTACAACCAGTTTACACCTTCTTTGGTTTAGTTTCCTGGAATATATAACATTGTCTTGTAGTATTTTAGATAAAATTCGGTGTATAAATAAATTACAAATTTCAAAAAACAATCTAGTTTTTTCTTATATACACTTCTATATATTGAGTTTCTTATCTCAGAGACAACAGGAAAGAACAGGTACAGGTTTTTAGCTAACCTTATCTTTTGGAACTTCTTCTTTTCACACCAGATTTCCTTGTAAGTGATTTCCTGGTTAAAACTGATGGATCTACCAGCCATGGCAGTTCAAACTCACTGAAAAAAAATTAAATCAGGAAATAACATGCATTTGGTTTTTTGTGGTAATTTTTTCTTTGTGATGAGGGTCAAATTTCGAAAATGTTCTTACCGTGGGTTGATTTTTGGAATAGAATGGCCAAAAGCTGAAACAGGTAACTCTTCAGTAATCTCTAAATATTTTATATCATCGACTTTTGGCCACAGTGACTGGAGAGATTCACTTTCTTCATTTTTGGATCCAAGCCCTATCTTCTCCTGTCGCTGCTTCAATTTTTCTATCACCCGTTGTTCCCGAATCCTCTGAACATCCCACCTGAATCATGATCCATTTATTATTTTCACATTTTTCGAATATAGTAACATGCATTTCACCTTTTCCTTCTTCTTTCATCATTTTCCAGTCTCATATGCCGTTTATTGAAAACTTCATCATCTAAATTTTCTGTTCCTTCTAACGTATAACTGCTAGCATATATTTTGTGTCTCCATCTGGGAACCTAAAGGATTTTAAAATCAAAAAGTGCATATCAAAATTAATCATATTTTTTCATTGTGACATGGTCTGAAAATTTTCCAGTCAGAAAACTATAACCTCAGATACAATTATGTTTGAATTTATATTATAGATATACAGAGTTTCCCTTAAAGGTCTTTACAAGAACTTACCACCTATTTCTCAGACCAGAACAATCAAATATAAGCAAACATACCTCAGTATGCAGTTGCTTAGTTGAGCGCTAGACGGCTCTGAAGTTAGGGCCCATGGGATTTTACTCAAGTTTGATACGTTGGCAGTGCTTCCTTGGGCAATGAAACCCATATCATGATTATGATAAATATCATTCCACGGGCGTAAAACTATTTGGTTCAGTAAATAAACATCTTAAACTTCTGCGCCAATGGAAAGAAAGGGCTTGGAATATAAATTTTGGATTTCGTAACTTGTTTACTACAAAAAAGGTACCCACTGTTGATAAAATTCGATTACTTTCATGGTTTCCACAAAAATTGAATTTGAGTAATTAAAAGCATAATTTAACCTTGAAATCAACAGATATGTCATGAAAATCCAAAATGTTCATCATTTTCACATATACAATGATTTATCGTCATTATTTGAAAATGATCGGCACTAAATTGAGGAATAAATGCAGAAATACGCGACATTAGGTCGGAATTATTAAGCAATAGATGGTAATAGATATGAAAAAGTCGGCAATAGTTCGGCAGTATGTCAGAAATAGTCGGGAATTAACAGCGAAATAATGTAGAGAGGGGCGTCTATTCTTTATTCCTGTCCAATCATTCATTGTGGTGAGTTGTTCCTATGTGTTGTTCTTATTAAAATTTCGAATATTCGAGTATGTCTTTAATTCGAAATACCGAGGAAATTCGCAATATATTGAAAGTGACAGGACACTTCGCCTAAAAAATAATCTCGTGAAATCAGTGTACTTAAAACCATAAAACTAAACTTGAATTGAGTATTCACACTGGAGTGACATTTCTTCGGAGTTTTCCAAACGGACATGACAGATTTTGAAAATTTATTACCACCTGAAACGCTATGGAAATCAAAATATCATAAATGGAATAAATCAATAAATCTCAATTAAGCTGTCTACAATGAACTATAATTTTCAAACAGGAAAAATAACTCTCAGGAGCGAAAAAAATAACTAGATAAGTGTAAATTCGGCATGAAAATGAAGAGACGTACGAGCAAAATTGAAAGTAGATACTTATTCTCCTATTCATCTAAATATTCAGATCTACACTCGTCTTCCAAGAGCAAGTCCCGAATTTTTTTTCTCTTGGAGCGCACAAAAGTAGTAAATTCCTATAATGTTCAAAGTACATCTTGCGTACCTAGGGAGGATAGGGAGAGGAGGAAGGTGTTGGAATATTTTTTGAAGTTTTGGAGGTTATTAGTTCTTGGGAATATTTTCATTGGTGAAAAATTCCAAAGTAGAGAGCTGACACTGTCATGTCCTATAAAGATGAGTGATACATACCTATCAGCTTTGATGACCCCGCCTCTAAATACAATAAAAAGATAGGCATGACGGGCGATGCATTTATAAAAATATATTTCAAATTAGTATTCCAAGGGTATTCATGAATTTGTATTTCTGGATAGAAAAAATGGCTGCAAAACATTTTGGATAATTTGGGTATTTAAACTGTGTACCTAATACTTATATCTGCTTGTGTTTGGGATATTTAAGCTACTCTTTGCCAATTTCAAGAAACACACAGAAATAAGTATTATGGTATTTTCAAACGGAATACAGTTATGTTTAGAATTGTTGAGGGGCATAAAAAACTTGATAAAACTATTAGGTATTTTAGTCATAAGGCATTGATAATATTTTCAGCATTAAGGCATTAGTCAGCAATATCAGAAATATATTTTCATTACAGCAATAAACTAGCTTTGAAACTGACAATAAGTGTACATGATTTTGGAGCATGTCAGTAATCATATTTCATCTAGAGTACCTTGTTTGTGTGTACACAAGTTATGCAATCTAAATTTCATATTCATACCCCTTTCCTCCCATTGGTGTAGAAGTTTGGATGTTTATTTACAGAAAAAATCAAGTTCTACGCCCATAGAATGATATTTAGCATAATCATGATATGGTTTTTAATTACCAATAAAGCCAAATTTGAGTAAGATCTCATTAGCCGTTTAAAAGTTATGAAGCTGAAACAATTTGAAAATTGTAACTTCAGAGCCATCTAGCACCCAACCCAAGCAACTTTGTACTTGGGTAAGTTTGCTTGTAAATTATTTTGATCTGAGGAATATGTAGTGAGTTTTTGTAAAGACCTTTTAGGGACACCCTGTATTTCAAACATGAATTTTCCAACATCACAATAAGAGGATATAACTTTCTGAACTTGTTAAAGTGGCTGAAATCACAAATGAAACACTGAGAAAATCAGGCAAGTATTCTTTGATAGAAATTGACTGATTCATACTATTTCAGAAAACAATACATATATTGAAATTATGCATATTATATTCAACTGTTTTTATGAAGAAATATTATTATTATTATACATACAAATATATTGTAATTAGTATAACATCAATACAAGTACATATTCTAATTTTTTATCACTCTACTTGCAGATTTACTTACTTCTAAGGTAATTGTAGCAGTACATTCAGGATTTTCTGGCTCTGGAAGAGGAATACCAAAATTTACTTCATGAGCTTGAGTTACATAAGGTTCTGATGAGGTTAGAATCTGGTCATCTTTAGTGGGACCTGAAATCATTTAAATTTGATCATTTGCTGTTGTAAGAAAGCACAAAATTTCAAGATTTTCAATGGTGAGTTCATGCACCACTCAATCTAGTCCTAACTTAAGAGGTGATGATTTTTGATTTGCCAATCACATTCTGAAATTCACAAGTGCAGACTAAGGTTAGTGGTGCATGTATTCACCAAAGAATACCATCTGTACAAAAATAAAGAGAGTAAAATGAACTGATATATCTTAGTTTCTGTAGAGTATGAACCTTTTAGTAGCCTGAAAATGTTTTGAAAGATTTCACAGCCATCAGAGTTTTGTTATTTTCTATAATTTTTCTGATCATGACACCTGCTAGTGAGTGTCAATATTGAAAAACTACTTTATATTGCCTGAAATGCTGTCATAGGTATTGAACTTACGTCTCTTTTTCTTTTTAGACCTGCTACTAGTCTCTTTTTCTTCATGATTCACAGCTTCATTATGGGAGAGCCCACTGGAACTGCTGGTCACCCTTTTTCTCCTAATACTCATCCTCAAGTTTTTCATTGAATCAAAGTCACTAATATTGTTTATTGTAAAGTTATACTGCTCAACCGAACTGCCACAATTTAAAAAATCACTCTCTGTTTTGAAACAAGTATCATCAATGTTTATATCATTAATGATATCATTTATGATTAGTTCTTCGTTTTTAACTTCAATGACACTGTCTTCAATTTCAGTAGGGAAAGTGGTTGTATTTTCAACAATTTGAGATTCACTATCACACAGGTTAACGTGGTTTTCTTGAAAGTCCAGTATATCTAATGAACAAGAAGTGTTGTTATCACTGTTGTACTGTTCCTCAAAGATCTGTATATGACCTTGGGTCATATCTTCCAAGATCACTGCTTCTGGAGCCTTTTGGTCGGAGGGTCTGTCGTTCTGCTGAGAAATGCCGTTCTCTATACAAAGGATACGCTCTTTGAGCTGAAAAAAAATCAGCTTCCAGAGTTTTGTCTTTGTATGCAGTCTGTTTTGACCATGGTTTGGTGAAAATTTGAGTTCATTTATACTTTTTCTTACATTAACGTGAAGGGGAAAAACTTACCATTTGATTTTCTTTCCGTAAAATATATATTTCTCTATCTTTATCGATAATATCATCGTTTTGTTGTTGAATTAGATCAGTATGCAATATCAACCATTCCTTGATGAACTTAACCTCACTATCGGCTGTTTGACAGCTGAATGGCGGACTTTCTTGGTTTATTTCGCCGCGAATTTCGCCATTTTCGACGTTAGTGGCATAGAGATGATCAACTACATTTAGATCTCCGTCGTTATCTCCTCTAACAGTTTTTATATTATTGAGAAAATTAACGGACCTCAAATTTTTCGACAAATTTGAATTATTTCCATCGTGAAAATCTTCGGACATTTTCGTATGTGGCTCTATGTTTTGATCATTGTTTATGCCTCGCATTGCATAATTAGTGGAATTTTGGATTACAATTTCATTATTTCATCTGCTTCTGTTCACGAATATAGAAGTTGAGATAAAGTCTACATGATGATTATTCTTTACAAATCAATTCATTAAAAATTTGTTCATCCGATTGTTGACAGTGAAAATCATAGTGCCGTGAGATCAACAATGCAATTAATGTAATGTATTATAAGTGGCTGTAATGAAAACTCCAAAATCTTCAACAAAGGAAACGATGAACACAATGAAGCATGTATTGAGAACTTCAATAAGAGCAAACTTGGATTTCTCACTCTCCGATTAGTCAAATAATGTTTATAGGTTAGGTAGGTAGGTTGAAATGTATGTTTTAAGTTTGTGAATGGAAGCTTATTTGAATAGCACTAATCACACGACTATCTAGCACTTCAAATTCGGATTCAACCACAAACAAGCTGCCACCATTCTGCCGCCCCTACACAGTTAATTGTTTTTTATATTACAGGACCAAAACAAAGCACTTTCCTATATCAATGCACGTTGATAACATGGTTCAATTCTTATTCAATTGAAAACCGGATTTTTCTGAAATGCTTTATGGTCGGCGTCTGGTTGAGCCCAATTCCAATGAAAGATTGAATAATAGAAAACATTCAGAAAGTTTTAACATTTTCAACAACATAACTATTATTATTGACGCAATTCTCTGAATCTGTCATCAAAATTAAAAAAAGCAGAAAGTCAACAAAACCATGAACATACATGAACAGAAGAACACAAACACAAAAAAAACAATACCCACAGAACACGAATCAAATCTTAACTGACTTCTGGTTCTGTGCTACAACACTGCGTTTTGCACTTTTGAAGCAACTTTTGAAGTAGGTATCTTCGTTTGCGTTCACTCAACTGAGAGAGACGACAACATAAACACAAAACGCGACCACGATACGAGTACAGTCCACTCACGTCCACTTCACTCACGTCACATAAGGTTATCTAGATATTTAGCCGTCATTGCATTCGAGCAATGACGGCTAGATATCTAGTTAATTCGATGTTGCCAGTTCATGCTATTCGACATGTCTCATGCCAGTTTGATTATGAGACAATTTCTATGGACATAAGGTCAAATTCGATATTTTTCGTTAGACATACTTCCACTAATCTACAAGATGGTTTGTTTTTTCCACTTTTGATATCGAATATTACACAGCTATGCTGATTTCTTCATCACTGGAACGGTACTAGAGGTTGGTGTTTCATATGAATCAGTGGCTTTTGAGAATTTTAAGATAATATGATTAATCACTCCATCCATAATTCCAACGAGGAATGAGTAAAGAAGATAATGAGAATTATAAACATTAAAAAACACTAACAGTTGTCATTTCTGTGTCCGAACTCTTATCTAACTAATACCATGGTGGAAATTTAATATGGTGTTCCGAATTACATCAGTGTAATTTTTATTTCGGAACACATATTTTCAGCAGAGTCAGTGGATTTACTGACAGTACTGGTGCTGTTTAATTATCTATGGTACTGAGGTACTGACCAGTTGAATTCGGAATATAGCCCCAGGTTCGGGGAAGAGTACATCCATATATTATTATCTTTCTTTGTCCTTCATTTTTGAATCAGAGTTCAGAGTTCATAGCGTCTCCTCGAGTGGGAAACAGGTTACGATAAATTATTTAGAAAATTAATTCTACTTGAAATATGAAATGATGAGGATGAAGGACCTCAATGGAGGCCGATGGCAAGTTGGTAGGTATGTATGTACATAATTATCAGCGGAGTAAATATAGGTACTATTACTATATGAAATCATAATAAACTGAGCGGAAAGTATCTATATATAATTACGTTCATCGTGGTTCAGTTGAATAAATGTTGTAGCAAAAATGTACAGAATGGGGTAAAAATCGATTGATTACAACTGATTAAACCGAGAATTAAACATACATTCATCTCAGATCGAATATTTCAGTTGTGGGGTCCCTACACAGAGACTGTTCGCATTGATGGTAAAAATGAATAAACTATTTGGAACTCATAACGGTTTTTTATTCATTTCACCTACTAACACTAAGCACATAAATTCTATCTAATCTACTAGCGTCTACCCACTCCCTCGCCTTGTTCCCTCCTCCTCCTTTTTCTACCGGAACCGGATAACCGGATCTACATTCCTTCAAATGTCATATGCCGGAACGGCAACGGCGCGAATATTCAAATTCATACTAACATAACTTAAGGGGATTCGTCTAAATGACAACTTAAGGGGATACAACATTTACAAACCCTACAGCTCGGCCAACCTGACATAATGATCGACCCGATCTAAAATCATACAAATAAAAGTGACATAATATCCTCATTCATCATAAAACAAAGGTGGAATAAACATGAGATTTTCATAATCATAAATACATAAACATACAGACATTTACCTGTGGTAGGCAATACATAAGAATCCACATAATGAAAAATACATAAAAGTGAAAATAATTACAATAATTCATAACATTTTCAAGGCTTTGAGGGAAACAGACAAAGGATAATGACAGCTCAATTACAATTTTCATTTTCATAGGCTTTCAATCTGGTTACATCAACTACTCCATCATATGGGATTTGCGTATTCTGGAAACCTATAATATCACTGACCATGTATCGATCATTAGGCAAAACTTGCTTTATTACATAAGGTCCTCGATATCGGGGTATCAACTTCTTGCTTACACCTGGCGTAGTATCATAATTAGATATCATAACGTATTGCCCTTCCTTATAAATTGTTGCCTCTTTATGTTTAGAATCATAATATTTTTTATTTTCTTTTTGTACCTTCTCAATATTTTCGACTGCTTTGGATCGCAAATCATCTAAATTTTCTTTTTCCTCATGGTTCAACATATCTAAAACTTCTTTGACATTATCGTGAACATTCCCTATTTGATCTCTTCCAAATAAAAGTCTAGCTGGGGTTTCCCCTGTTGATCTATTAATGGTATTATTTATGCAAAATTCAACCTCACCTAAAATCTTATCCCAGGCAATTTGTTTTTCACTTACTATTTTGCTAAGTAAAGGAGTTAATAATCTATTCATTCGTTCGATCTGGCCATTGGCTCTGGGAGCTGCGGTCGCTATTAAGATATGCTTTATATTATGATCATGTACAAAATCCTTGAAATTTTGGGAAGTGAAACACGAACCTCTATCAGAGATAATTATTCTTGGCTGACTATAATTGTTGAAGTAAGTTTTCAAAAATGATATGACCTCTTTGGTATCAGTACTCTTACAAGGATAGAATTTTATGAATTTGGTGAAGCCATCTATGATTTCAAAAATATATTTATTTCGGTTACCTGTCCTCTGTAAGGGTCCATAGTGATCGATGTGTAAAGTTTCAAAAGGTACCGTCCCCTTTGGAATGCTATGTAAAAATCCTTCAACTTTCCCTGACTTGGGGTTGAACTCAATACACTTCAAACAATTATTAATATGTGAGCGGATTTTCTTTCTCATTTCTGGGAACCAATAGGTTCTATGAATAAGCTCAAAAGTCTTATCCAGTCCAAAGTGACCCATATCATTGTGATATGTGTGAATGATAGTATACACCATACTTTCTGGAACATAAAACAAAATTGAATCTTGATGTTTTCTATACACCAATCCATTTCTCAACTCAAAAAATGAATGTTCGGATTCTTCTAATGACTGCTTTATCTTAACAATCTCACTATCTGTACTCTGCCTCAAAGCTAAAGTTTGTTCTACAGTATTTCCCTCTAACACTAATACATTATATGCTCTACTTAAAGCATCTACATGCCTCATATGAGCATTTGATCGATGCTCAATGGTATAGTCATAATCTTGTAGCATAAGACACCATCTCATTATCCTAGGGATAATATCTCGCTTAGCTAGTGTCAGTCGAAAGCTATCACAATCTGTGACTATTTTAAATTTTATTCCCTGTAAGTATACATGAAAGCGCTTCAGTGAATAAACTATGGCCAGACATTCGAGTTCATAACTATGGTACTTAGATTCATGTTCGGATGTTCTTTTACTAAAGAAGAAAACAGGATGAAACTTGCCATCTGTTTGTTTTTGAAGTAGAATAGACCCAAAACCTTGTGCGCTGGCGTCACAATGTAGCTCAGTCTCACTTGTTGGAGAGTAAATAGATAATATGGGCTTTGACATTAACTTTTCTTTTAATAGTTCAAAGGTTCTTAACTGTTCTTCTTGAAACTGAAACTTCACATTTTTTTTCAACAAATCGAATAAAGGCTTGGCAATCAATGAAAAGTTTTGAATAAATCGTCTAAAATAGCTTGCTAACCCTAGAAATCTGTGAACTTGTTTGGCATCTGTTGGAACTGGGTAGTTCTGAATTGACTTGAGATTATCCATATTTGGCCTCACTCCCTGTTCATTGATACTATACCCTAAGAAATCCATTTCACATTTCAAAAATGAGCATTTATCTAGTCTAAGTTCAAGTAAGTTATCAACCATCAATGTAAACACTTCCTGCAGTATTTCCAAATTTTCATCAACTGTTTTAGTAGCAATTAAAATATCGTCAAAATAGATAAGTACCTTCCCTTGACTAATTTGGTCTTTAAATATTTTATGGACAAATCTTGAGAATGTAGATGGACTTGAACTACATCCAAACGGCATTTTTCTAAATTCATATTGACCTGAAGGGGTGATAAAAGACGTATATTTCATAGAATCTTCATCTAAGGCAACATGATAGAATGCATTTTTAAGGTCTAGCTTGGTGAAGTACTTTTTATCTTTTAATTGATCTAAGTGGTCATCATGTTACACTTCGTTTTATTCCTAACGAAAATCCTGCATATAGCAAATCTATTTAACATTGTTTACGTACGCAACCTTGTATTATTCTGTTCCTCCGCTCATCAATTCGTGAAATTAGGTAGGTAGAGATACCGTGGCCGTGTTATCGTGGGTCTGTGAAC